ATTCCATCCTTTTCTAGTATTTAGTGTATTCTAGTCTCTTTTACTGGGTTTGTAACTGAGAGAAGAATACTTTGTACATACTGTGAATGTGAAAGGTGGTTGATGTATTACAGTCATTAGCATCTGAAATGTTCTTTTAACTGTTATCCACCGAGTTTTATGGATAGAGAATGCTTGCTTACCTCAGCACACACGGGGGTAAAAGTCTGAACTCCTCCTGATCAGAAATACTGGTCATTTAGCATATGTATTTAAAGTGTATTGACTTCTGAAAGAGAACAAAGGTGAAAAGGCTCAGTTAATTGTCTTTGTTAAACCTGCTGGGTTAAACTGCTGGGTGAAAGTTTGATGAAAACAACACTCGTTAAATCTCAAAATGATGCCGTTACTTTAGCCTGAATCAGCCAAAGCAACACTTTCCATGCAGATATTTATAAAAGGTCTGGATACTGGCCTGGAAAAGCCTTGTTTAAACATTAAAATTCCCTTGATGTCTGAGTCTTATTCAGGCCTTATGTAGTTGGAATACCAGATATTGACTATTTGAATTTTAAAGTGTATAATGAGTATTAGCCTATATATTTTTAATTTAGAAAGATGTGGAGTTTGAATAATGGAGTTAATGTTCTGGGTGCTAGTTTAAACTTTAAAAGAAAGACAGAAACAAAGACGGATAACTATGAGGTTTTTAATTATCAGATACTGGAAAACCGTTTGTCCGATCAGTTTAAAAAGATATAGCACACTAAGAACAGGCTGCAGGTCTGTGCCAAATTTAGTAGATGTAGCCTGAAAACTTTAGGAGAAGTTACACTGAATTGTGGACAAGCAAATGTACTAAGTGTATACAAAATTTACATGCTGCATGTTACTAGTTCCAAAACTGAGGGAATAGTTGAATGTTAAGTAGTCTTTATTGTGCTTGAGATTGAGAGAGTGTGAATAGTTGAATTCAATTGTTCAGTTGTGGATGGAGAGGAGTGGGTCTGGTCACATATATTGAAAGTCAAAGCGGGTGTGATGGTAATTTCCTGTCAAGAGCTCTCTGGTCCAGCCTGCCTTTGTAATGGGGGATCAGCTGGTCCTCAGAGTTCTCCTCCACACAGCGGATGCAGCCTCTGAAAAGTGGACCAGCTAGAGCCAAGAGAGCCACACACACATACTCACACACACCCAATGTCTTTCTACCATCGACTCAATGACCGTCTCAGACAACTCAACTAGTGGCCGGAAATCCAGATGGAAAAGCGTGTTTATTAAAATATTGTTATTCAATGGTCTCTTTTATCTGCATGAACAAGAGGTCCCCAAGCAACACATCTAGGTCTCTGACCCCGCCTGACTTTCTTTTCCGTGCCGCAGCCGTTCATAAAAGCTCTGACTGTGGACGGTTTCTATTTAGAGAGCACTTATAGATTTTTACTTCCACTTATTTTCCGTCAACTTAAAATGGATACAATGTCCACACTTTGTTCAAGAGAGCTACTCTGAAGGAGGCAATGGAGAGGAGACACATGGAGATTTTGTTGACTTCCCCAGAGAGAACAGATTGTTTTATATAGACATATCTTGAGCTGACATGCTCAGTTTTGTTTTTAGACTGTTACCCACAGCAACAAAAATACTGCTATGTTAAAGGAGTAGTTCACTTTAAAAAAAACTTTTGCTGATAATTTACTCACCCCCATGTCATCCAAGATATCCATGTCATTCGTTCTTCAGTCAAAAAGAAATTAAGGTTTTTGATGAAAACATTCCAGGATTTTTCTATATATAATGGATTTCAATAGGAACCAAACGGTTCAAGGTCCAAAAGACAGTTTCAAATGGCTTTAAACGGTTTCAGACGATGAATAAGGGTCTTATCAAGAGAAACGATCGCTCATTAATAAAAAAAAAGTTTACGTTTTATAAGCTCAAATGGTCGCCTTGCTCGCCTCTTCTGTGTTGCGTGTTCGTGACTCTCCTGTTCAAACTCGTTTATCAAAATGAACAAATCTTTTCTCGAGTCAACTCGTTCATTTCGTTTGTTGAATGAACCAAATGACATGAAAAAAGATTTGTTCATTTTGATAAACGAGTTCGAACAGGAGAGTCACGAACGTGCATCACAGAACAGAGCAAGGCGACCATTTGAGCTTATAAAACGTAAACTTTTTTTTTTTAAAGAGCGATCGTTTCGCTTGATAAGACCCTTATTCATCGTCTGAAATCATTTAAAGCCCTTTGAACAGTTTGCACTGAAACTGTCTTTTGGACCTTGAACCGTTTGGTTCCCATTGAAGTCCATTATATGGAGAAAATTCCTGAAATGTTTTCATCAAAAATCTTACTTTCTTTTTGACTGAAGAAAGAATGACATGGACATCTTGGATGACATGGGGGTGAGTAAATTATCAGCAAAAGTTTTTTTCAAAGTGAACTACTCCTTTAACTTAGCTTTCTTATTTTATTTTACCAGTACAAACGATGGTGAATTGCTGCACTTGTAGTTGATTATTAGATAGTCTTGCATCATAATTTTAACAATAAAAAAAAAGCCAAAAAGGATTTATTGAATGCATTACATAGGGGATGAATTTATGTCCGTTTTAGCCAGTTGGTCCAAGTATTATACTTATCCAAACCTGTAAGAGTTTCTTTCTTCTGTTGAACACATACCGTCAATTGCCTCGTTACCAACATTCTTTAAAATGTCTTTTTTTGTGTGTTGCACAGAAGAAAGAAACTTATACAGGTTTGCAGAGGCGTAGAATTTAGTAGGGACCCTGGGGATGTGTCCCTACCAATATCCAGTGTCACTGATAGATTCCAATTAATAATTTCAATCAAAACTTAAAATATATTTATACATGGATGTCCCCATCCCCACCAATTTCAAAATCAAACATACGCCACTGCAAGTAAATGATGTCAAAATTTTCATTTTTGGGTGAACTGTCCCTTTAACAAAAAGGAAGATGAGGTGAATCGTTTATAGAATGCACAACATAAGTTGCTTGTGTTTTGTTGCAATGGTCCTCATGCATGTCTCTCTCTGATTTGCAGTATCCACTCAACAGCCAGATGTCCAGAATGGAGTCCTGTTTGATGAGTGGGTCTCCTCTTCTACACTCGAGCCCTGTGACCCCTCGTTGGCCAGACGTGCCCTCAGCCAACAGCTGTTACACCAGCCCCGCAGTCCACACTTCACGCTACTCCACCGGAGACATGTACTCCCCTCTGGCCCCACGCAGGAACTCTGAATATGAGCATGTGCAACATTTTCCAGGATTTGCCTATATCAATGGGGAGGCCACGACTGGGTGGGCAAAATGATTGTACACTTCCGAGAGTCTTCGTCCAAGATAACAGATGTCTGCGCGTGGAAAGCTGAACAGATAAAACAGCAGCTGCCAATATTTAACCTTATTACAGAGAATGTATTTGAGTGGAAAGGACATTGTGTCAGAGATGTTATTGGTGTGGTCAGTGTTTACAGTGTAAGCTGCCAATGAAACTCTTTTCGAATCTCAATCATTGTGTGAGTGCAAAAAGGCAGTGTCCCAGTTGTGCCTTTCCTTGCCTTTTCTCATTTATCTCTATAAACATTATAGACCAGTACTGCCATTTACTGTGCAAAAATTTTGTTCGCTGACCTAGTTTCAGTGTAAAAATGCGCACCTCACAGGATTCTGTCACCACAGGTTGGGTGTTTGACGTCAATGGATCTGTAACAATACCACAGGGTTTTGTTTTTCACTGCCACTGTCAACATGAAAGTGTGCTGCTTTCCTAGCATAACCCATTCTCAGCACCAAGAAGAAATGCCTTAATATTTCACTTCAGAACGCCCTATTGGCCAGCTGCCAGGTTGCGGACGTCATAGGAGTCTAAACAAATAAGGGCAACTCACATGAGTACTTGTTGCATGCGAATGTGAACATAAGATTTCTCATATTACACAAATGCAGAATTATCCCAGTGTGATCCTGGGAGAATATTAGAGATCTTTTCTGTAGCTTTGTAACATTGTGTCCCTTTGCATTGTTTATCTGTGTTTGACCTGTATATCCAGTTTTGTATGATTTAGGAAACCGAAAAGTGTTAACCTAGGTTTGTGTGTTTTTGAATGCACTCAAAGGTACTGTGGACCTATTACCCTATGGGTAGGAATAAAACGGAAAGAATATGAAAATGTAACATTTATTATCTTTAGTCACTTTCTCTTGTAAATAAAAGCACTCAGTAACTTCTGTGGTGACAGCTGTTACTTAAATGATATATGTGGAATTATTTGTTGCCACATAAAGATTTTTTAAAACCTAGTTTGGATTGTCTTTATTTTTATTATTATTATTATTATTATTATTATTATTTTTACTTAAAATGTCTATTGTGTTTTAAAATATATATATTAAGAAATTCATTATACATATTTAGCTTTAAATTACTGGCAGGTATCAAACTCTAATCAGGTACTATTAAACTTTAAGGTAAAGTTAAAAAATCTGCTGAAATACACCTTTTAAATGGTCACATCTTGATAATTCAACTCTAAATGTGATTATATGTATTTATTTATTTATGAATGTATCACTGCAAATTGTTGCCTGCGTCTATTAATTTTGTGCAGTGACCAAACAAGTATTCATTCAAAAACGACTTTTTAATGAAATGTAGAGGGAGAAAAAAATAGTTAATGTGAAATTGCATAATTTATTCATAATTCTATTTCTTGTTGGAAAGTCCATCTGTGTTTTTGGAACAGCTGGTTTAGCTGGTCATGTGCAGCTATCACGTTACTGAACCATCCTAACCAGTTTGAATAGTTTTTTTTTTCTTTCTTTTGCTGGTCAGCCCAGTGATGTAAAACTACCATCTTAATTATATCAAAATCAAAACATAGGTTAGTTTTGTAGTCTTTCTGACTGCCATCATAACATTTCCAATGTGTACACAATGGATATTATTATAAGACCTGGGACATTTGGACACCATCCAGGGAGCTTTGAGGAAATCCTTATTACTGGATTGTGCCTTACGCGAGAAACGTGACGTTAACGGGTGAAAGTTGAACAGATGAACGAAACAGGAGGTGTGTAACTCATCTGTTCTGTTGTTGTGAGGAGGACTGTCAGTGTTTCTAAGTGAACGGCAAAAGCAACATTCAGAGATGAGTTTAAGTGCTATTCTATCAGAGATCGACGGTGGAGATGACAAGGGGGTTGAAAAGCTTTTGCAGAAGTATAACACAGAGGTAAAGTGGCTGCTGTTAGCTTAACACACTATCTCATATTGATTTAATGTGCGTTAGCAATGTAAATGACTATTAGCTAGTTAACGTTAGCCGCTCGCTAATCTCAATATACCCAGTGTGTGTGAACCAACAAAAAGGTTTTTGGTCTCTGCGAAGAAAAAATGCCTTGTTTCTGACCTTTGGACGTGTACTTCATTTGTATTTAGCGATGATTAAAGCCACGAGGCGTTCGTAAACTAGCATCCTCCAGCTGTTAGCCATGATAGAACCTATTTGCTACATCCAACTTGATTGTTTTTAAACAAAAAATGCCATATTTGACCTATGGATGAGCAAGGGGGAAATAGTAATTGCTGACGAATAGAGTAGAAATTAACTGTTGTTTTGGTTAAGTTAACGTTACGTCTCGAAGTTATGGAAGGCTAAAGTAGCTAGCTTGACAGATGTCAGACAGGTAACGTTAACTTGACAGCATACTGATGGAAATATTATTGCACTTCTAGTTTATCAACGAAATATGCCTGTATGAATTATCAGAGTATGCTGGTGTGAACAGCAATTTTAGCCATATATTCGGTGTTTACAGTGGTTTTAATTTTGTCGAAATGTTATGTATGCTAATTTTGTTTTTGTGTTGAGGAAATCTCCAGGGTAACGTAACGTTACAGGATTTTCCTTTAACGTTACGTTACGTTACCTATTCCTCGAGACATGCTTAAATAAACCACATTCAGTTAACAGTTTTTAGAAAGAGACTGATACTGTTACTGTGATTCTAATTATAATTAAATTCATCAAATCAGATGTATTGCTGGTCCATCTTAAAATGGTAGCTTTATTTTAAACCATGCCATGATAACTTAGTTGGTTTCTAGCTGTTTAAGCTAGTCATTATTTGGTTGACCATCATCTTAGACCAGCGACACATTATGTATTATAATTATAATTAAAATGGTAAAGTTTGGTGTTTGTACGTGTTACTGAAGTGGAGATTTTTGAATCTGTTGCTTGACGAACCCCCCTCCCCCCCCCCACCCTTTAAACTGCCTTTAAACGTACTTTAAATGAAATCTACAGAGGCTAATAGTTTATAGGCTGGTTTCACAAACAGGGTTTAGAAAAAACATTACTGGTAAACTTTGCATCTTGAGAAAAAAAACAACAACAACAATGGCAGTGACATATTTAATATAATATATAAGTTATAATATCCCCAAATCTCTAAATAAACCAGTGTATTTAAAAAAACAATGGTTTTGTCTGTAGTGTCTTGCCTTTATGTGGTCAAGCTTGTTTATGGAATTTCATAGATGATCAACTAGCTTAGACTGGGGATGCACAAAATATCGGCCACCATATTGGTATGGGCCGATGTATGCAATTTTTAAAATATTATTGTTATCGGCCTGATAAGAACATTTGCTGCTATTTTAAGGCCAATAAATAATGTATTTCCTTCAGATGCGCACTGTTTGCAATGATGGTTTTGAATTGCTTGAAATATGATCGGAATAACTTTCCAAAAAAGGAAATGTGCAACATGTGCAAGTCTGTTATATCGGCTAGCCTACATAAAATTATAATGAAAATATTATAGTTGTGCTTGGGACATGGTTTTTAATGGTGAGAATTGTTTGTAGTCAGGCTTTTAAAAATTATATAAAAATTTGGATTTAGATTTATCCACCAATATATCGGTAATCGGTTTTCAAATATAAAGAATTATCGGTATCGACCAAAATTTTCATAGTGGTGTCCCTACCTTAGATCCGCTACAATTTTACAGCAGGATTAGTGAACTGTTTTACTCATGTCTGGCTACTCTATGACTTTACAAGGATGCAAACATTGTCTCATGTCATGTTTTCATTTCATTTCAGAACTGCCACACGTTCGCCTTTGACCGCAAAGAGGAGGATGCACGAATTGTGAGTAACAGATTTGTGGTCTATTATCTCAGTGTGATGTGTTCTGGGTTGTTTTGGTATGTAGTACCTTGTTTTATTTATAACGATCAATGACATTTTTTAACCTTGTGTTTTGTGGTCCCTTCTGCAGGAGTTGTGTCAGGGTCTTCTCACTGTTCTCCGCCGGTCAGATCTTCCACTTTGCCAAAGCACCTGCCTCGAGACCCTGCGCATCCTGTCCAGAGACAAGCGTGTACTTGGTCCCGTAGGCACCAGAGAGGGCATCCTCACTCTAGCAGGGCTGGCCCGGATCTGTGTGGCGGGACATGACGGAGAGCCATTGAATGTAGCGCAGTCAGCAGAGGAGGAGAGGGTTGTGGTGGAGGCCCTAAAGTGCATGTGCAACGTGGTGTTTAACAGCGTGCCGGCACAACAGGTGGGAGCTGACTTGCAGTTGGCTGAGGGCCTTTGTGCCTGCTTGCATTCGGTCAACTCATCCCATCATGAGGTTGGCCTGTTCTCCCTTCGGCTGCTTTTTCTGCTTTCCGCCCTGCGGACAGATGTGCGTGGCACGCTTCGGAGGGAGATGGGTGCAGTCAGGCTGCTCACTAACGTGTTGGAACGCACCCTCAACGTGCGTTGGGTGGGGCCATATGAGGCTGCGCCCCCTGATCCAGAAGCCCCGCCTATTTCACCAGAAAATATCGATCATGCCATGGAAGCCCTTAAAGCACTGTTCAACATCACTATGTCTGATTCGAGCGATGAGGTGAGATTAACAGTATTTGGATAACATTTTATGATGCTTTTTACACAGCCACTATACATTTTGATATCTACACAGAGCCTAAAGTTAAAACAGTGTCAATTGCCTCTGTAATTTTCAATAAATTGGATCCGTGCAGGTCTTAAAGTGACAGCATCCTAATAATCCTGCTGCTGTCTGTGTCGTTAATGTAAATCAAACAACAAAAGTGCTCCAATAATGCTCTATTGGCCTCTTTTCATTTTGCTTTGGCAAGATTGTCTCTGGATCATTAAAACACTGTTGTTTGACATTCACAATGTTTAGAGTTAGTTTAAAGTGATAAAGCTGTTGTAATTTTCAGCAGTGTGTCAGCGTATTTGTAATGTGTTTGAAATGTCTCTAAAATGCAAATTTTCAAAGAAAGCAAATGATGGTTATGGCTTCATTTTCTGGTGCTGTATCATCACTATTACTAGTATGCATAGTTAAAACTACAATATGTAATTTTTTCGCTGCCAGAGGTCATATTTTCAAAACAACAACAAAGTCAACCTTGATGACTCTATGAAGGAGAATAGAATTATGGGAGGTGTCGTTTTCACCATCCAGAAATGCATAGTATTCAATTCACGAATCATATAAATTATAGATCAGCTAATAAATTAGTTTTTGTATTACCTGTACATTTTATCACACTTTGTCATCGTAATGAATTAGCTGCCAGGAACTTGAAATGTAATGCTATATTAGCCTGTTACTAAAATGAGACTATTTGTCAAATTATTTGGTAGGTTAATGCTGTGCAGTTTTACACATTTAAAAAAATCCTAAAATTGCATTTGAACAAACCCACAGTATTTCCATGCCACGGCTAAATATTTTTCTGCAACACATAGGCTACTTAATTTCACTGCCTTTGACTTGGTCACCAGACTTGATAAAAAGCGTTTCTGAAGTAAAAACAAAGTGCAACATAACTGTTAGTGTACAATACATAATAATATATATTTGCTTACCTATTTATTAACATGTGAGAGCAGAGCCTCTCGACAGATCAAGTCCAAGTTTGTTGCGAAGCTCTCCCCATCCTGAAAACACCTCAGAGATATTGATCCTTGTTTTGTTTCTCTGTATCACTCTGTGAAAGTGTTTTTTTAAATATGTTATTACAAAATTGTACCTTTAAGTATCATTTTTGTCATCTAGCAACAATGTTGTTGTGCTACTATTGAGACTATAGTATAGTTTATAGTCTCTATATATATATTTGATTTTTATTAAAAACCATTAAATTAAACTAAATGAAAATGAGAAATGTTGCCTTAGCAGCTATTTTATTTTAAATTAAAATTAATTTAAATTAAATTATAAAACTATAATAACCCTTCCTAATAATTTCTCTAAAACCATGATGCCTGATTATACCAAAGACTATACAAGAGGCTCACTTGTATTGTCCTGAGATGCATTGACTTTATCCAACATGCACCGGGTGGATGATACTCTAAAAAGCAAATTCAGTGTGCAGGATTTTTCATTTTATGTATTATTCAGAGCATGCATTGGATTTGTTGGAGAACTTGTCACCCATTGATAACGTATATTCTGTAGTATGAAGTGTAGTTGTAGTATTATTGTACTACAATACTACAACTGTAGTAGTTGTAGTAGTTGTATATGTAGTTCTGAAGTATGAAGTCCACGTTGCTGCGCTCTGCATTCTCTTTTTATTGTATGAATATGACATTGTCTCTCTCGTAGTCTAATTGAATAATAAATTAAACTGTTTGGTAATTTAGAATCTCAGCCAAAGTAGTAGGTCATCAGGGTATTTTTGACTAACTTTTTTATAGTGCTGCGTATTCAGACATAATTGACCTATATAGTATGGAAGTAAGCCTATTCGCATATGGAGCCACTTATTCACATTAAATGAGGGGCCAAAACCATATCTAGAAACCAATAATAAAGACTTGTTAGTGTGCTATTTTGATCACCCACAAGTTACATCACCCTACCATTGTGGTTGTACATTTTAGACGGACGAGAACCAATCACATTTTCTTTGAGAAAATGTTAAATTTTTTAAATGCTAAAAGCTCCCACTCCCGCCCTTCCACCAAGTAGATGAAACAACATTGGTACATTCCAGAGTTCTCAGCCCTTTGAATAGTTAATGAAGTAAGGCAAAGTGTGTCTCAATTGCCTGACCTTTTGTTGGTTTCGGTATGGTCAGGATCACCCTGACATAAGATATACTTTCTTTTCTCAAGCCAGTGGTTCTCTCAGTCCCTAGATCTCTACATTGCCTCTTAGCTCTCTGGTTGTTTAGCTTGTAAAGGAAGTCCAAACATGGCATCTGTCTGCTATTGTTGTGAAACAGTTTTTTGGTTTAACGCTCACACAATTTCTCCTTTATTTTAATAGGACAGTGACCACCAGCTTCGGCTCATTGCAGGCATCATGAGACATCTCCTAATGCTGAAGACACACTCTGAAGATAAAACAGAGGAGGCTCACAGGTACTTCCATTCTGAAAGATTGACTGCCAAATTCTGTTTGTTTTCTCTGTATACTAGGCCTGTGTATTTTGTAATTGCTTCAAAACGAGTTTTCCAGCGAGCCAAAAAGCAAAAGAAATGCAAGTGCGGTGAACGTGAATGATGAGATGTCTTCTCCAAGTGATTAATGACACACCCCTTTGCCCCATCGAGACAGCTTAACGCATTCTGAAACTCCCACCCGTTTATTTGGGCTCGACTCATTGTGCCCACGGTGGTGCCGTCACCAGCCCTTTCACACTCCTGGAATGCTCCCCTCTCTAATGCATTCTACAGCACTCTGAAATGACTAACTCTACGCTCCCCCTTTTAACAAGTGCGTTGAATGTGCTGAACCAGTCCTGGTCAGTAGATGTGTCTTTGTTATTCAAATTGTGCCCATGGACTGAAGGTCCCCCACCCACCCCTCAGTGTTTTCAGAATGCCTGCTCATGTTTGTCTGCCGCCATCACATTCCTAGAACGTGACATGAGTATGTTGAATGTTCTTTTGCGTCAGTGAAGATCATAAAATTAACTAATGAAACTGGCATACAAATATTTACTATTTCTATTTGCACAAGGTACTTCAATGTGAGAGGGAGGTTTTGGGTCTCCATGTGGTCCTGTTTAGTATCGCAACTTGACTTGTCTGAAATGTTGCACTGTACACAACTACGTATACACTGAATTCTGAAATTCACCGCTTGTGCCTGGCCCTTTAAATGCAAATGAGCTGCTACAGAGGGCGGGGTTTAAAGAGCTTGTGTGTGTGTGTTGGCAGCTGTGAGTTATCAACTCAGACACACTAAAATGACTGAAACCGTTCTGCCTTTAATGCTAAAACTGAGTCAGACAAAGATGGAGAGACTCAAGAAGAAGTGACGATATTGTACGGTATGCAATGATAACAATACGCTGAGTTTACGCAGCCGCCATTTTGAAATCGAAAGCGGGGCTCCGGTGGGCAAAACCCCGGAAGTACAGATAGACAACAATCCCTTGGACTACCAACCTGAAGCTGCTGCCGCGATTTACACTATTGGATGTTAATATCCAATATAGGATATGTATATAGTTCGTTCCTGCTTCTTTTTTTTTACGTTCTGAATTATATATATAAAAAATAGTTTATTTATAATTTAATTTCACTGTATATAGTCTAAAGTATGAAAGAAATGTATGTACATTTTTAGAATAACTAATTTCTACATTAAAACAACAATACGCCATCAAATTCGCGACTCTCCAATGATTAAAAACGACACTTCCGGTTTTCTTCCCACCGGAGTGATTTCAAAATGGCGGCAGCGTGAAATCAGCATATATAAATACTAAATTGATGCTGCCTTATTGTGACAATAAAGCCCTCCCTACACCTACACCTACCCCTAACCCATAAACACATAATTATTAAACACACGTTAGAAAATTTATTTCCACTTTTCAAATATTTTCTTAATTTGTATTAAAAATTAATGAACTGATGTGTGATGGAAAAAGGAGAAGAGCAAGTTCGGCAAAAGGCGGATTCGAACTGCGGTTGATTTTTTTTACTTTTTGCCACGTGCTTTTTACCCCTACACAATTGCTACTGTTGACTAACCAGCATCTTCTGTCTTTTTGTCTGGCCTAACCAGACGTCAGTGGGCGGAGTTAGTGTAAATAGCCTCTGCCATCAAGATGTGCACTTATTGTAAATACAGACACCCCTATATTTGCACTAATATTTGCAATAATATATTTGCACTTATTGTAAATACAGACACCCCTTCATAATAATTATTATTAAATTGTTCTGCATGTTGGTTAGTAACAATTTCTAGGGAAAACTTTCTTCTCAAAGGCAAGAGTTACATGCTGTGTTCTCATCTTATTATGTGCGCTACTTAACCATTATCATTTGCAGAGGTGTAAAGTCCAGGTTCAGAAAGTAAAAGTCCTCAGTATTTTGTTCCAATCACCTGGATTTGCTAATTAGCACAGTTTTTTCAGACAGGAGATAATTAGTTCATGGGTGGAATAAACAAATGGCAGGACTTTTACTTTCTGACCCCTGGACTTTACACCTCGGATCATTTGTCATTTCTTCTAGTCATGCCATCAATCTCCTGAGTAACCTTCCCGTGCAGTGCCTGGATGTTCTGATAGACGTCCCTGTCCAAGGTGGAATAGAAAAGTATGGTGGGAAGAACATGGACACAGTGCAGATGCTGCTAGATTTTATGGAAATGCGGATAGACAAGGTATTACACTTCAGATGAACCCCTGCAAGCTTCCTCAGCTGTTCCTCCTCATTGCGTGTGTTCATGCTTCATGTGTATTTATCCACTCAGGGTTCCAACTATAAAGAAGGCTTGACACCTGTGCTGAGTCTGATGACAGAGAGCTCGAGATACCACAGGGACATCCGCAGATACTTCAAGGCCAAGGTGCAGGGTTGAGTCCATGCTCAGTGTAATTCACTACTTCTACTAAATATTTAGTTACTGATTGAATGTGTTCTCTTTGTTTGCTGCCGTGCAGGTGTTGCCACCCTTGAAAGACGTGAAGGAAAGGCCAGAAATCGGCTGCACCGTTCGAAACAAACTGGTGCGTCTCATGACTCATATTGACATGGCAGTGAAACAGGGGGCTGCTGAGTTCCTTTTTGTGCTCTGCAAAGAGAGTGGTGAGTTCTGAAATTGTCTGTTTTTAAATGGATTGTTTGCAGTTGTAATCTAAAATACAATAATTCCTATTGAATGAGCTAATTGTGTTTTTCATTGTCTCCTGTTGGTCATGTGATACAGTGGATAATCTGTTGAAGTACACTGGTTATGGTAATGCTGCGGGGCTGTTGATGGCACGAGGGTTGCTGGCCGGAGGTAGAGGAGAGACGCAGTACTCCTCTGATGAAGACTCTGACACTGATGAATACAAGTCAGCCAAGCCTTTGTAAGTACATTTTTATGTGTGCTTAACGGCTGGTCTTAATTGTATCATATTTTTCCTTAGCATTCCTGCATTTCTTTCTGCATACTTAGATTATAATAACAATCATTCTTGGTTTTTTTTTTTCAGCATTAACCCCATTACAGGTCACATAGAGCACCCAATGCCAAATCCCATTGATGAGATGACAGAGGAGCAGAAGGAATATGAAGCCCAGAAGCTTGTCAATATGATTGATGAATTATCAAGGTGGGTTTTTTTTTACAATTAATAATTTATGCGATTAAATAGTAACAAAATTTGAAATAACAAGAAACTACTAATTAACATTATTAGTATTAGTAGTTGTAACCTCATAATTACAATTATTGTTGAGACCAAAGAGACTTATTATATTATTATCAGTGTATTTGTTATAATTTCTTCTTCTTATAATTTTTAGGGCTGTGCAACAATTAGTTGCATCCAAAATAAAAGTTTGTGTTTACATAATATACAGTATGTGTGTACTGTGTATACTTATTTAGTAGAAATATTTGAATGTATGTATATATATATATATATATATATATTTAAATATTATTTTTATTAAATAGAAATATAAATATCTGATATATACATAACACATTTTTTACATGCGTGTGTGTGTTTATATATGCAAAATAATTATACACAGTACACGCATATATTACACAAACCTTTATTTTGGATTTAATTAATCGTTGCAAAGCCCTAAAAAAGTTTTTCCCTATGCTCTCTTTTTTTATTGTTTTAAGTGATCCAATTTAAACACCAAAATTAAAATTTATTCAGGCATAAGCCATCAATCTTTAACATTAAGTAGAAATTAAAATGTTTAGATAAGCAGAAATGAAACCAAACTTTTTGCATTTTATTTGCTCCAATGTATATTCTGGCCATTTTTACTGTTGCTCATTAACATCAATCAATCACTCTTTCTGTATTTCATCAACTTGTATGAAGCGGTTCATAATGCCTTCATAGGTGACTCCATCCGCTAGAAGCATTGTGCTTGTTTTCCCATCACCCTCCTTGGAGGCTGGATATGTGCAGGGCCGCATTCATGTTGACCTTTTCCTAAACAACCGGTGGCGTAAACTAGCGAGACTCCGGTGAGAGGTGTAGTGCCGTTGCTCACAGCGCGCTCCTTACCAACCGCTTCATTAAGGCAAGAATCCTCCACCATCGTCCTCTGCCTCATTTACAGCTGGCCTTCCACATTCAACAGGAGTCAATGCACACCGACCGGCCACCGCAGCCCCGCTGCATTAATTACCAGCTAATTGGCGCACACAGTGGGGTCGCGGACTCAGGCTCTTTTGTACAATACATTGAGGTTTCATAATACATATATACGTGGTACTCTTTCATACGCCGCCTGTTTTATTCATTCGGGGTGCGAGACATTGTCCTCGGACGTGAAGTGGTTTGAGACACTGGCCCAATTAGGGGTGTGCGTATGTACGTTAGCTGCAGGGTGATGTTAAATAAGTTTGCAAACACACAAGAGGACGAGTCATTGTCTATCTATTGAGCGTTTGAGTCGTAATGAGCAGCGTGTGCCCAAGAGAGGCAGATTCCTGTCTTTGAGAATGAATCCTCGTTCCTTCTCTCTTCCTCCTATTCTTTTTTATCAGGATGAAGGAGGTGTTGTTTGGGAGAGGGAGGGCACTGGTGCTCCCCGCTACGGCTGCTGGGGAGACGCAACATGTCCATGGAGGAATGTCCCTCCCTGTGTCTGCTGCTTGACTTGTTGTCCAATTAGTACTGACTCTCCACCCCATATATCCACACAAACACACACACACAGACGTACGTACGTAAACACAATTACTCAGGCTGCTGATCTACACAGATTCTGTTGATTGGATGACCGATCAAATTTGGCGTCTTGTTTTCGAGGGACGCAGTGGAAATGTCCGTATTCTTTCTAGTCGACTTATCTTGTTTACAGTCATCATGACCTGCGTTTGACGTCAAGGTGTTGTAGATATAGATATTGTAGATAACTTTTCAAAAAGTGTTTGATATAAGATGTCGTTCCATTTAGTAGCATTTAATGCATTTATACACAATTTATCTGTAACACTTTACAATGAGGTTCTGTTTGACATTTACTAACATGAAAAAACATTGACAAATACTTCTAAAGCATTTATAGCTAATGGGAACTTATTGTAAAGTGTTACCAGCTGATTTGTATATGAATGGCATAAATGAATGCAAATGAGCTATTTGATGGCTTTGATTGGATAATGCTCTTATTAATCATTTTTGTCCGTGCTTTGATTGGCTAATACTCTGATGAATCATCTCGGGGTGTGCTGGTGCCACACAGTGCAGATATAATTGGATTAGTGTGGAGGAGCTGCCCGGGCTTTGAAGAGATTAGAATGAGCACTGATCCTGTAATTAAACTGCAGGGCCGAGGTGGTGGTTGTGGGGGTGCGGGACCGCTCTGGGATTGGGGGGGTTTAGGGTTGTGATTCCAAGGGCTCTTATGTGGCCAGATGTAAAGGGAAAGAAAGATGTCCTACACATCAACAGGCCTCTTTAGAGGACACAACTGAATGCTGCTACAATGGACAGTACAAAGGGTTTCTTTCAAAGAGCAGGTGGATTGTAGTGACAAATTAGTGGCCCGAAAAACGAAATCGACAAGATGTGTGAGCACAATAAATATGTAGGGTAAATGACAGTTTGTGTTTTTTATTACAATGTAAAAGAATTGTTTGCTGTTATCATTTAAAATGTAGTTTATTTTCAAGCATCATTACACCAGTCTCAACTCATTCTATGATGTTGATTTGGTGCTCAAGAAACATTTTTTATTATTTTAATTGATCAATGTTGTTGAAAACAGTTGTGCTGCTTAATGTTTTAAAACCATGATAGTTTTTTTCAGGATTCTTTGAAGAGCAGCATTTATTTAGCCTGGATGCCAGCCCGAACCCCGCCCACAACATTTTTTGGGCGGGAAGTTCGGTCTGGACTCGATCCATTGTGGAGTAGTTATGTTTGGTTCAGAAATCGTCGGGCCAATCAAATTGTTAGGGCGGGCCTTATACGATGATGGACAGATGATGTGCAGTTATGTAATCATCGCTTTATCAAAGAGCGCTTGAGTTGAACTGGTTTCCCTCATTGATGTCTGCAGCTGGAGAATTGAGATGTATAGACGCTGCTATCACGTCTGTTGTAAAAGAAATCGACAGCGCATTCATTTTAAAAGACGAACAGAAAACTGCAATCAAGGCATTTAACGATTGAAAAAAAATTTGTTTGCCGTCCTTCCTACGGGACTCAGCAAAAGTGTAATTTATCAGCTGGCTCCGATGGCCACTAAGAAGAACCCTGTGTTCATTGTGGTTCTCTTTGGTCGCACTCGTGGAGGACCAAGTAAAAGAAGCAACACTCATTATTTTACTACTACTTCCTGCAAGTGTGCAGTTGAGTTCTGTTGACAACTATGCGTAGCTCAACATGCGTCACTTACTGGGTTGCTCTGATTGGTTGTAGGTCTATCCAATTGAGTCCAAAACTTTTTTTTTTCTTGGTTCGGTTAAGACTCGCCTCATAATCAAAGCCCTATGGAGCAGTATCAGACTCACATTCTGACTAGAATATCTGAGTATGACGAAGTCACAGTCAGGCTAGCATTTATTTGAAATAAAAAAATGTAATTGATTAGTGTTGGACTGCAGAATATGTGTGTCTAACAATTATAGATTGCAGTTCTATTTAGTGTACCATTTTGTTTTTGTACAAAGAAAATCTAGACATAATGAAATAAACGTTTCCACTGAACTTGGTCATTCTAGCTGGTTGTATCTCCCTGTACGCTTATTTGCATGTGACGTGAACATGCAAAGCCGAAGTTGCACACAACATGCAAAAGTATTGAGCTCTGTCTTGCTCTTTCAACAGGAAAGAACTGATCAGACCAATGGGAGTGAGGAGGGATGGCACACTAGCGCCCCTAGGACAAGCTATCCATGAGTGCAGCCCACCACCCAGCAGTGACTCTGACTCAGACTAAACTGGAGTTCACCGAAACCCTACAGGAACCACTGCTGATGGTAACCGTCAGTTTTATATTACAAACTGTTCCTTGCACAAGGCGATACTTCAATTACTTTTGTTGCACGAGGGGCATGTCTTTCAAATCGGGACATATATGGTGAAGTCCTTATTGAGCAGAGAGAGAAGAAACAGAAATGTTTAAATAGATATCTGGATGTGATCAGACATCAAATGCGATGTATCAGACGGAACTGTTAAATAGGACTTATTCACGTGTCTTTGACGCTCTTTGTGAACAAGTAAATGCACTTGGTCTAAGGTAATGAAGTACAAAGGCTTAACACTTACAAATCAATGTTTAAAAGCTGTATTTATTATTACGGTCTGTGGCTGTTGCCGATTCACAGATCGAAGAATCCGGTTTTCTGAAACGTTATATTCCAAGACAAGCCATTAGATCATTTATATTATTTGTCTTGCACTCAAATGTTTTTACAAAATGTGCTTTTTTGCGTCTACCACTTAAGCCTTGAGTTTCAAACAATTATCTGTCTTTTCTAATGTTATATATTTTAGCTACACACTTTTCTATATACTATGTATTATTCCTTTTTTTCTTTCAATGCTGTCGGTGTCATTTTGTTTCTTTTTCTAATGTTCGGTTTTCTACACAAGACAAAGCATGCAATTAAATTCAGATTTTCTAAATACTCATCTATTACCACTATAATAAAAGTCAACTGAGTAAAAGGGCTTTGTAAAACTTTTAAATTAAGCTTGTTTTCCATTTCAGACAATCACTTGCAATAAAATAAAATCCTACAAGCCATTCACTCATTGCAAGCAGAAATGTTTCTAATGGTTTTCGTAATATTTCCCTTGAATATAAAAATCCAAAGAAATGCCAGGTCAGTTAAAACAGTAATCCTAACTCTAATGCAAGATTAGATAAAAGTTTATTAAACTACAATCAAGTGATTGCTTAAGGATATTGAATGTGACTGTTTTGTCACTAAATAAGGTCCTTAGTATCCACATTTCAGTGTTGGATTTCTTTATTACACTCAGATCTGTGGTAAATTTAATATTCCTTGGTTGATCAGATGCAATGTACAAAAAAAAAAAAGAGGGTGAAGAGACAAATATGAATATTTTTTATTAAATACTATTAGATGAAACGTCTATTAACAAGGTAATATAAAAAAAAAAATACCGAACAGAAAACAAGCGTTTTAATATTCAAAGCACAAATAGCAATGTCAAGTTAAATGCAAGCTCAAACTATTGACATTCATATATTCAACTGGAGAGGCACTTGGTTAAATTAAAAAAAAAAAATTAAACCATTGCATGAATCAGAAACACTGACAAAAACCGCTGGTTAACAGGCTTTAACCAAACATGACAGTCTGCACATATGAATAAATAAAAAAAAAATTGATGGATTGAAACATTTAAATGGGCATTCAGGCATTTTGTCCACATTTTCCAAAACATGCCAAACTCCTTTCAAAATCCTTGCGGGACATGAACAGATATGATCTCAACGCAATTACCAGCGACTTCACTGATCCTGTGCAAAATGGAACTACACTCATAGACAGAACCTTACACACACACACACACACACACAAACAGCAGCAGCAGGATATTGGGGTTCTTTGTGGCTGACCAAAGACATTTATTAGAGTTGTGGGGGGGTTGGAGCTCCCGCTTGGAGGCTACAGTGCCTGTGAAAACACACAGTGGGGGCACTGCACACTTGGGAGGTCACGCCTCCCATGCTAATTTAGCACAGTTCGCTCACTGGGGCCAAACCAGGACTCGCAGACTATGCAATAACCTACAACTAACAAACATGAATATATAGACTCACATTTATAAAATTCACAAACACACAATATTCCCAATCCTTTACAAAAAAACTCCTTTCTGCACCAAAATATACCACCAACTATTCCAAACAGATTAAAATCTCAAATAAAGTTTGTAGAATGCTGAAGGAACCTTGACGTAATACATTCTTGGCTTGCCCAGAGATAATTAGCCATACTAAATTATTAAAAACAATCAAAAGTAAGTGCCATGTTTGTAGTTTTTCCCCAATGTAGTAACAGGGCCTGATAAAAATGTACAATTATAGCCATCTCTCTGCGTATACATTACGGACTTTAAAAGAGCCAGATTTTCCAAGATATTCTGATATGGGTTTTCAGTCAAAATTAGCAGCAGACACAGATTTCTGCTGGTACAAATACAGTAAAACTACACTGACATAAAACATGAATGCAGGTATTGAACCCTTGCCAGGTCTCCATTCCATAGCCAAGGTTATTTTAAACGTACAGAGCATCTCTGTGGATGATATTAATGCATGCTATCGGTCTCAGAGCAGTCACTGTTCTCACCGCTGCTACTGCTGGGGTCAGTATAGGAACAAACACCATTTTCCTGGCTGTTCATCAGGTCTTGGATCTCAGTATGCCACCCCAGGATCTCTGCAAGTTTTCGGACCGAATCGGAGAGATCCCCTAGCTCCATGTAGTCGCCCCTCTTCAGGGGCCGCCGTTCAAAGGGCCCGACCGCATCGCGGTTCAGCAATAGACGAGGCACTGTGGACTTTACGGTGTTAATCAGGCTGGCGAAGGGCTCAATCTGTCACAAAGCAGATCAAATGTCATAATTTTAGATTTTATAATATTAAGAAAACATATATAAAGAACCAAATCAGCATATTAGAATGATTTCTGAGGAATCATGTGAAAGACGCATGTAATGATGCTGAAAATTCAGGTTTGCCATTAAAAAAGTAACATTTGAAAATATAAATCAGAAAGTTCTCTTTATTTGTAAGAATATTTCTAAATACTACCGTTTTGTTTTTGATATATAAATATATATCTATACATCAGTAACCAAAATGCAGCTTTGAGAAATGGTTATTAAAAAAAATAAAAATCTCATAAAAGCTGTATGTAGAAGTTATTAAAATCACAAAAACAGTTTAAAATAAAGTGTAATAGTCTCTCACTGCAAAAGAACTACAGTCGACTACACTTACATACAAAATAGATTTATATCCATTTTATTATTGTTCTTAATAATAATAAAGATTTTAAAGTCACCTTTAAAGAAGTGCCCATGATCATGAGAAGGTCAGCTTTTGGGAAATCTTCGGCATGTTGAAAGTACTTTTCTGGCAGATCCTCTCCAAAGAAAACAACATTAGGTTTGACTGCCCCGGCACAAAAAGTACAGATGGGTACGTTGCCGTTCATTATAGCTTGCTAATAAAAAAAAAAATGGAAAATTATGTAGTGTGCTAAAACAGTGTGTAGTTTGAGTGATATAAATTACAAAAATGATTACCTTGGCTTCATCTGCAGGATATGGCGTATAGCAAAGGTGACAGGCAGCAGTAGCAAAACTCCCATGAGCCTCCACGAGTTTTTCATCTGGGATACCGCACACTACAGACAGGGTTGAGAATATAACACTGCAATAACACTTTCAATTAGGTTTAAATGGAGTTCCAAAATCACATTTACTCACCCCTCGAGTTGTTCCAAACCTGTATGAATTTATTTTTTTTCTTCTGCTGAACAGAAAAGACGATATTTTAAAGAATTTTAGTAACCAAACAGTTAACTTCCATAGCATTTTTTCCCCATGCTATGGCAGTCAAAGTGGCCTCCCAACTGTTTGGTGACCCATATTCTTCACAAAAAAAAAAAAATAAGAAGAAGAAAATCTGTTCAGCAGAAGAGAAAAAAAAAAAAGGTTTGGAACAACAAAGGTGAGTAAATGACAATTTGTATTTTTGGGTTAACTATCCCTTTTGAAAATGCGTTAAAAATGCGCTTAATAAACGAGCTACAGTGCAAAATGCAGCTGCTTAAGTTCGTTATAGGTCAAGAAAATATGATCATATAACACCAATTTTATTATCTCTTTATCACACTGGTTACCTATTAATTAAGTTCCGTGTCATTTACAAAGTATTGCTACTGACCTAGAAGGTCCTAAATGGTTTTGCTTTTGCTCCTGTGTATTTAACTAATTTTCTATCGTCACAAAACTCTGGGCTTTTGATGGTACCTAAAATACCTAAGTCCCCTAAAGGAGGGAGAGCGTTTGGCTCCTAAACTCTGGAATAGCCTTCCTTATAATGTTCAGGGCTCAGGCTCACTCTCCTCCAAGTTAAATCAAGATTAAAAGATGCATCTCTTTAGCCTAGCATTCATATAATGCATCTCCCAACCTTATACAGTTAAATCAGATCAAATGCACATGATTATCCTTGATTAATGTTATGAACAGCAACTACGTATTTTCTATTTGCTTCTGTTTCTGTTTTACATTTCTGAAATACATAACTTAGTTACCTCTAAATTGTAATTGTGAAAAGCGCTATACAAATAAACGTGAATTGTTTAATCTCACGCTTTTCAAGTCCATCGATGTTCTGAGTGTACATGCGGAGCAACAGGCCCTTCTGATGCAGCATACGGATGAAATAGTGAACGTAGTTTGGACGGTGGTGTCCAGGGTACAGCTCTTTAGCCAATGAGAAGAAAGGATGAGGATTTTCAGAGAAGTAGTCAATGTTAAAGATGGCCTCTGGATAAGGGATGTCATACTTCGCAAGGTTTGCATAAAGACCCGTCCCTGGCGTCCTGATAAAGAGACAGTTGTTAACTGAGTGGCATGATGATTTAGAGGTAGTTTAAAGGTTTTCAGTAAGTATCCACCTGAAGTCTGGTATACCGCTGGCTGTGCTGATCCCTGCTCCAGCAACCACCACAATGTTTCGCACCCGTCCGAGCTTCATCAGCCTGCCGATAGTTCCCAAAGCCTCGCGGGGCACAGAGTTGCCAGAGGCTGAGGAGAGAATAGATTTGGTGCTGGGACTCTGGTAGGACTTCCCTTCCCTAAAAAGGAGGAAAAATGTTTAGAAAAATAAACAAAGAAATTGAGTTGGGGTGTCTTACGTTGGTATATTGCGATATCAATGAAATGAGATGAAAATGTGATATGTATTAACCCTCATGTGGTGTTCAAAACCCTATAACACCTGTGGTGTTCCCGGTCAAAAAAAAGACAACTTATAAAATCACTCATACCATATTTTCACCCAATCTTGGATTCAATCTTTTTGTCAACATGTAAAACAAACCATTAGGACTGGTTTTATATTTCAATTTGCATCTGAATAATCATAGGCCTCATTTATTTGAGAGTTGGCATTTCATTTTTTGAGTAATTTTTTTTTAATAATTTTGGAAATTAAATAAAATCTAAAAAAAATGGCTACTGTTGATCACACTAGTCAACTTAAAATTTTCACCAGGAATTTTGTATGTTTTGTAAAAAATATGGCACAGTCACACTTGCGGTGTTCCAGGTCAAAAATGTCCGGCCTACAAAAAATTGCTTATAAATCACTCATTATACCATATTTTCACCCGATCTTGGATTCAATCTTTTTGTCAACATGTAAAACAAACCATTAGGACTGGTTTTATATTTCAATTTGCATCTGAATAATCATAGGCCTCATTTATTTGAGAGTTGGCATTTCATTTTTTGAGTAATTTTTTTAAAATAATTTTGGAAATTAAATAAAATCTGAAAAAAATGGCTACTGTTGATCACACTAGTCAACTTAAAATTTTCACCAGGAATTTTGTATGTTTTGTAAAAAATATGGCACAGTCACACTTGCGGTGTTCCAGGTCAAAAATGTCCGGCCTATAAAAAATTGCTTATAAATCACTCATTATACCATATTTTCCACCCGATCTCGGATTCAATCTTTTTGTCAACATGTTCACTTTCAATAAGGACTGGTTTTATATTTATGTTTGCATCTGATTAATCATGGGCCTCATTTATCTGAGAGTAGGCATGGTCAAAAACGTTCACAATGGCCGACCATTGAAAGTGAATGGGAGAGACTGAAAATAACAGAACAATTTAGTTTTCAGGAGCATGTTCATTATTTTCATGTACACGTGAGCATGTGTGCTTGCAAACATCGAGCCCTTGGACCGGTGCATGTATCGATACATTCATACACGCACAACGTTTTTTCAGTATTACACACATTCTTTTCCACAGAGAGAAATTTGATCCTACCCTAACCTGCTTCTAATATACATTTATCCATCTGACAAAGGCAACAGTTCTAATTTGTATTCCAAGTTTTTTTTTTTTTAAGTCAGCATGAAACAGTAGTGATGGCAATTTTTTAATGAACATGCTCAAACAAGAGAGAACCAACAAATCATTTTGTCAGATGAATACCTAAACCAAGTTTAGGGTTTTATTTTTCCTTAATATTTTAAAAATATATTCACATTTTGATCATTTAACCAACTTTAGGGTCATAAAAAATATTTCATTTGGACATTTATTTCTTTACCACTAATGTATGTTTTACAAATGCTTTAATCTTGCTTGGAAAAAAAAGCTTTTGTAATGTCTGATTGTTTGCTGGAAAGCATAACAAAGATGTGGCATCTCACCGTGCTAACAAGGCCTGCTGTTCACTCACACTCATTAGGCTGAGATCATCAACAAGGCCTGAATCTGTAGGTTTATTGCGCTGAGAGTCCTGAGTGGTGATGATAGAACTGCGGGTCACCCTGGTGACGCCAGGCGTATTGATCCTTCTGTCCCGACTTGACTTCGCCTTGCTCATGCTGACACCTGGAAAGACATGTTTCAGTTTATTGGTGCCACCAATTACACACTTACACCACCAATTTGGTGGTGTAAGTTTTCAGTTCTAAAAGTAAAGCTAGATTTTAGAAGAAAATATCAGTCCTTGCAAGGCTGCAATAATGTTAAAGATTTAAGCAAGCTTAGATGTTATGCATTGCTGTACTTGCTGATGTGCAAATGTAGCTATAGACCAGGGCTCAAGAAAACTGCATATATTTTAATATACATCAAGTATTGAGTTGACCCCATAAAAGAACGATTTTTGAAGGATCAAGTAACTGTAACACTGAAGACTGGAGTAACTGCTGCAGAAAACTCAACATTGCCATCACAGCAACAAATTACAATATAAAAATGTATTACAATTTTTTTTATCAAATAAATGCAGCTTTCATGAGCATTAGAGACTTTCATAAACAAAATCTTACCAACCCTGGTATGCATGCGAGTATGTTTTTACAGTACCTTGTAAATGCTGTAACTATATCTTTAAATAACTTTTTGTTCGAATAACAGAGGGATAAAATTGAGATATACATAAATTTTATTTTCTATTCTAAAAAACATGTTTTCGGAAGACTTTTTTTTTTTTAAAGGGATACTCCACTTTTTTTGGAAATGGGCTCATTTTACAACTCCCCCAGAGTTAAACAGTCAAGTTTTACCTTTTTCGAATCCCTTCAGACGATTTTCTGATATTTAGAAGAATATCAGTCACCAGACAGTTTCTGGTCTCATTGACTTCCATAGTAGGAAAAAAATATACTATGGAAGTCAATGAGACCAGAAACTGTCTGGTGACTGATATTCTTCTAAATATCAGAAAATTGTCAGAATGGATTCGAAAACGGTAAAACTCAATTGTTTAACTCTGAGGGAGTTGTAAAATGAGCCTATTTCCCAAAAAAGTGGAGTATCCCTTTAAGAGATGATATGAATTGCTAGTTGCTTTTCTTTCCCCTTTCTTAATCCACCCATCACCATATTTAAAGTGTAATTAAAATCATAGCAGAGCTCTGCCGTGTCCTGCCTTTGGCTGGCGAAAAGCTTCGAATGTATTAAAACTGTCAAGCTCTAACAAAGCTAATGGTTGTAATATATTTAATGTCCCCCTCCACTTTCGTTCAACAGCCCACAGCTGTGGCAGCTTTACAGCTCAGGGAAGGGGAACGGGTACAAGAGGTGTGTGTGTGTGTGGGGGGTGAAAGTGTCCAGGATTGACTGTGTGTCAACAAACCCAGCTGGAGGAGAAAGGAGGAGGCCGTTTAGACCCCCCAAAAAAGGAGAGTGAATGGAGACATATGATGCAGAGGTAGAATCCAATAAAGAGAGTTTGTGGGAAGCGAGAGGTGAGGAAGATGCCTGGAGCCTTGAGAGGACATTTCTCAAGCCTTTGACATCTTCAGGATGAATGATGGATAGTGACTGGGACAGACAGAGGAGGAGTGAGAGAATAAAAGGTAAGAAGGGATACAAAGAAATACATGCAATAAAACAAGGCCTGCGTCACAGCATACAAATGCGATAAGACGGGCCTTTCAATGACGCACCTTATCGCAGCCGAAAGGGGCACCGTTATCACAATGACAATGGGTCAGTGTTCGGAGTGATAAACAACTACCAGGGGCCACAGGATGCAGATGAGTGTGAACAAAATACGGCAACCTGCAAAACAAGAAAGACCCACTATAACCGGCCACGACTCAATTCAACTCACTCACTGGTGTCTAAACGGACAAAGCTATAGCTGCAGATGAAATTGAATTAGTCAATTGTTGGCTATTTAATCTTTTTAAGCCTATCAAGGCATGTCCTTATGAGATTCCACTCTCCCACTTCCAATGGTGTAATGGCTACTCCTGCAGAACTATTAAAAACTACAGGGAATGGGAGGTCAGTGCCTTTGACTCCCCACTAACCACAGAGACACTGCTGTGCACATCCAATATTTCACAGCTGAGGTTATTAAGACTCGCACAGACGGCATGGAGAAATCTACAGTACAATGCGTTTCTCTGTTCCATCAAAGTCAAGGACTTAAAAAAAAAAATTGTCCTGAAGTGGGAAGCCTTAAAAAATCTTAATATTCATGACTTTAAGACATTTTTACTAATTCATAGTTATAGTTTAATAACAATAATGGAATCCAAAAATACCAAACTAGCAGCTAATAATAAAAACAACTAGGGATGCACCGATATGAAAATTTGGCTGGTACCGATAATTCTTTATATTTGAAAGCCGATAACCGATATATCGGCCGATAAACTTAAATCCAAATTTTTATCTAATTTTGAGAGCCTGATTACAAAAACAAATGTCTCACAATTAAATCTATGTCCCAAGTGCACAATTATAATGATGTTGTCATTATGGTGTTGTATAGCTGATATGACAGATTTTCGCTGCACATGTTGTACCGAACCACATTTTTAAAATGTTTTGAAGAGATTTCAATCATATTTCAAGATTTTTCAAAAACATAAACAGTGCCTCAGTGTCTCAGCTGAAGGGAATAATACATTATTTATCGTCTTTAATATATCGGCCACATTTTCTTACCAGGCCGATAATGATAACATTAAAAATGAACATATATGGGCCGATACCGATATGCTGGCCGATATATCGTGCATCCCTAAAAACAACCATCATTATTATACCACAACTTTGATTAAAAACATTATTTTTTGATAAATCGATAACAATAACAAAAATTATTATTGGAGCTATAATTATTAATAGCCATTAGTTTGATAAATGATTAAATCTCTAAATTAATACAATTATAAAAATAAAACTAATCATTTTGTATAATATATTATTAATATATGACTGCCATTAGTTTGATAAATGATTCAATATACTTGAATAAATAATAACTACATAATAATAACATCAATATGAATAATGATGATGATTAATTGTATTATTATTTTGATTGGTGTAGAAAAAACTAGTTTGTTAAATTAAAATACTTTTAATAAAATGGATAATTCTGGTCCTTGATTATGACTGGCTGGGACATTCGAAGCCGTAAAAATACTCTATAAACGCAACAGTTTAACAGTTGCCCAATGCAACACTGTTGCAGAGTCATTGTTCTGTGTTGTGCCTAACAACTCCCAGAATTCACTGTACTACTGAATGAGGGCGATTCTGTCCCCGACGAACATAAAAACTTGATACATTTTGGTTAGTGCACTATGCCCATGCATACATTCCTGTCAAACTAACACTCACTATGGAGAGGAGGCAAAAAACAAAACACTATTTTGGCCTAATTTGAAAAAATAAGGAAAACAACATGGAAACCTAAATCTGCCATCTAACAGAGACTTCACCAATCATAGGCACAGAGGCTTCTGTCCAAAGAAGAGGGAAAAACCAACATGACCATTGGTGTGACTGAAACCATGGAGAAGAGGTTAGCAACGGGCAGTCGGGGCAGGAATGAGCTGGCTGTCAGACTCAGAGTTAGTAAGACAGCACTGAGTCATTGTGCTGATATTAGCACACATCTCTGGCCTCTCACTGCAGACAAATTGAGCTTAATTAGATTTAGTGGTCGATAAGCAGCTAAAATAAGACTAAGATAAAAATAAATTAGTTTAGTATGGAATGTTATGCTCATTTATTCTAGGAGGATTATTTTCAAAAATATTTTCTAAATCGATTTAATGTCTATATTCTTGCACAAAGCTAGTTTTTATTTAATCTCTGCTGCCCCCTATTGTGGAGACACTGTTACAATCTCAATGAGGGCCAGCAGGTCAGTAAGGGGGTTAGTAATTTTTTACACTTTATTAAGCAAGGGTACATTAAATTGATTAAAAGTGACAGTAGAATCCTTTACATTGTTACAAAAATAATCTATTTTAATCAAACCCTCATGAGACGAGAGTTATTTACGAGTGCATGTTTAAGCGTGCAGTCCTCACAGAGTGATTTTATTGTGATTTTTTTTTGTTGTCTTTTTATGTCATTACATTCAATCAAAATCAGAGAATGGTGCAGAAACAATTTTACAAACCACCAATGACAATCAGCACACTGTTCAGAATAATGTTATTAAATGCTGCCACTCAGTGGCCACAGTACAATGAAATGAAGGAACAGGGTGTAATATTAGAACTTTTTAAAGTATCTCAAGTAATTGTCTATTTGGGAATTCAAACATTTAAAAACCAATTAGGGCAGAGGTGCCCAATCCTGCTCCTGGACATCTACTTGGATTCAGAGTAGAGATCGAACCCTGATCAAACAGACCTGTCTTTAATTATAAAGTTTCTCCCCAAGAACTTATTTAGATGGTTCACGTATGTTTGATCAGGGTTGGATCTGAAGTGTGCAGAAAAGCAGATCTCCAAGAACATGATTTGGGCACCCCTGAGTTCGGGGATAGAAATTAAGGCAAAGCCACCACCAGTATCAACATAAATCACTAAAATAGTTGCTTATTGGTAATTTCTTCCAAAGAAACACAATACACATTTGCTTCCACATTTCATACAACACATATTTTGTTTTCCATTTAAACTACAGTAGATAAAGTAAACATTTTATCATGAATATATGTTAAGATAAAGTCAGGTCTGGAATCAGGGATAAGGGCAAACAAAATCTGTATATAAAATGGATTTAAAAAGTAGCAAAGAAAGTAAATGAAGGCTTGGTCATAAGCTTTCTAGAACAGCATGCATGTATATGTCCAAGCAAATAAGCCTCCGTCTGGGTTTATAAAAATATAGCAAACAATACTCTCTGCATTAAGAATAGCCTAGATATGAGCAGAATGCACAATCCCGTTCTTTATTCTCGCTTGGTTGATCAAATCTACATTCATTCATTACACTGTGTGATAAGCTGCAAGTGAACATTGTTACAATGTAACGTTAGCCATTGAAAAAAGTCATTAAATATATTATCACCATATCAAAATTTGCCGGCCACAGAAATCTAGACGATCAGATATTTATTTATTTTTTTATTTTTTTTTGCTAAAAAAGGAATATACTTTTTAAAGGTTAAATATCTAGGATATGAAGCATTAAACTAAATTAGTTACTTGCCTTCAAGTATTTGTTTACCCGACTGAGGAAGAAGGGAAGACAGTCAACACGAACTGCAGCGAATCGATATGATAAATCTGGCGACAAAATAACAGATTGCGAATTAATTACATATATAGCCACATGATGTCTAGTGCAAACTGAATGCATGCCATATTTGAGTCGAAACATAAACAAGTCCGTTCCCGCAAAACATTACAAGCTGCTTGACAATACAGGAAATACGTCATTTTATGAATATAATGGCGGGAAACTACCCCTGTGACAGCAAGTGTGACAGCTGCAGCAGATCAAAAACCAATAAGAGATGCTGGGTTTTGTTAAAACACCTGTTTACATGCAATCCGCAGTTGCCAACCGCCATAAGTAGGTTATGGCGTTTCTTCTAAAGAAGAAGAAGAATCCAAAGTAGTCTTTTACAGTTTATGGTAAAGAGCAGGATCTCTATGATGACATATAATAAAATAGTACCTCCTCTAGAGTTGGCCAAATTTTTGATTTAAGAACCGACTCCCTTTCAGTTCATGAGAAAATTAGTCTTGTAAAAGGAATTAAAGAAAATAAAACAATCTTACAACAAACAATAGGCTAGATGACCTGTGTCAATCTTATCAACACGCTTCATGTGGTTTGGTTTTATATACTCTGGAGTAAATTAGTGCATGGTTGTAGTTGTTGTGTTGTGCTTGGTCCCAATTAATGTATATAAACTACATAAAATATACCAGAGAGAAATCAAACATTGATTATTTTATCAGTAAGATATTGATGATTAACTTTTGAATTATTGAAAAATATGTAGGTGGTAATGTGGCCATAAGTCATGTCACAAAGCGGTATCATTCTGAAGGGGTTTATTTTCAGATAATGAGTAGGTATATATGTATATTCTACCACTTATTAAAGTTAACAAATAAAGACATGGACCAGATGGTTGGAAATAGGCCTATTAGCGTATTAATAGAGAATGCTGAGAGCACCATGTTGGAAGCATAAAACAGATATCAAGGATGAGCAGACAGTTTGTTGCCAAGAGTCATTATTCAGATGTTTCATTGTTAAATATTGTGATTATATTTAGAATTTTCCATAATTTTTTTTTTTTTCAGAAATAGGCCTACCACATATGTTGTGTGAATGATAAACGTAAACCTGTTTATATAGGCAATTGAAAATGAATGCATTTTTTAAAACCACATAAAGCAGTGACATTAATTTGAATTTCATTCCATTTTAACTAGAAAAGAAATTGCAATTGTACTGTACATCATGTTCAAATTAATGTTTGAATTTAAAAGGCATTCTTAATTTGATTCTGAATAGCACACAACCCTGCTGCTGACAATCATTTAATGCTTTCGGATTCACCTTCACAAAAAAAAAAAAAAAAAAAAAAATCAGGAGGAAAATTGGAAAAGCGGGTCATTTTCTGATAGGACAAAAATCAACAAGGGAAGTTTCTTAACAGAACATTGAGCCCTATTTTTTACAGACTTTTACTAGAGTTAATTATGAAGTGAGTATATAATCACTTTTCACTTTTAGTTCTTTCTTTGCAGTCCATTCTCACAAGTTGTTTCAAAGAGACAAGTTAGTTGATCCATATGTCAATTATCTGGTCAGGTGGACAGAGCAAAGATAAACCCATAATGTTCATCATACTTTACATACAGGCAAAGCATGGAGTCATTTCACACCAGAGGGGTATGAACTAGAAAGAAACGTCACTTCCTCTTATATGTGTCCACACTGGTACGTGGTTAAAAACAGCTAGGACGCCACGTACACGTTATTCAAAGATAGGTCTTTATTAGAAAAGTCTTGCCAGATCCCAGATCTATCGTAATTTTAGCGTGTGACTTTTTGAATTGCTAAAGGGAGCACCATATTTTCCTTTGGAACAAACAAGGGGTGGAGACAGAAGTTTCCAAATCGATCTGCAGAAGTTTACAGCAGCAAACTTCTAACACAGTAAGTAGCCTACACTACACCTGGCAAAGTTTTTCTCTTGCATGTTATACAGGGTTGTTGATATTTTCTTTTAGTTATTTGATGTGATTCACAAAAGCTTTATCGACAGACAATGGCTGGATTGTTTAGTAGTGTGTATCTCTAACCTAATGTCATGTAACTGTCGTTTAACGAGCTGCCGCCCTGTTTTCATGTAATTTTCTTCAAAGCTATAATTTTCTTCCCCTGGTTAACATGTTTTCTTCGAAAGGGGTTTAAAAAACCCAATTTCCTTGTTGTTTCCTACCTAAAGCTTAATGCTAGTGTGAAATACAACGAGTTTATGTGCAGGTTATTATTATTCATTCCCGGGGAGAGAAAATACCTCTCTCATAAACGCCACGTCAGATTCGGTTCAGAAGATTCACAAACAGAAAAGGTTTATAGCGCCGTTCGATTCACGAATGAATCATTCTTTTGAATCGTTTGAAACTAAAAGAATCTCTCCAAGTGGTTTTAGAGTTACGCGTTTTATTTATAATGGATATATATTTATGATTTGATATTACAGTTTTACACTGGATACTTTAATTTAATGTAAAAAAAAATGAAAACATGGATGAATCATTAAATATCAGGCTATTAGTCAACGTGAATAAGTCTAATTTTTTGTTTTGTTTTTATGAGTCATGGCTGCAACAGACTGAACCTCAAAAACATAAAATAATGAATCGTATCTGTCAGTGACCACGTAATGATGTAATTGGACAAGGGCATAAAATAATAGATTTTTCAACCTGTTCTTTTAAATTTGAAAGAATAGATTCAGTGACACGAGTCTGACCATCTTTACTAAAATTCTTTTTATGACATACATGATACTTTAAGGAGGCCTACTTGTTCCAGTTATTACGTCATAAAGTTGCTTCAAGATCCTGATGTTCTATTCTAACACTCATTTCCACTCAATCTATGATTGCTTACGTGTAACTGTACACGTATTAATATACTGTTCAACGAGCCAAATTTTATCTTTATTGTCCTGACTTGAGTAAATGTCCCAATATAGGCTTTGACTTCAGAATAATAAATTATTAAAATGGAGTTCTGAATCACAGCTGCTATGTTAATATTTAATTATGATTTCTTAATTTCACTCGTGTTCATATGGTTGAGCTACTAATGAAAATATATATTTCCAATTTCAATTTAATATTCATACATTTGTTATTATTGCTTCAAGCCATTTATGAGCCTTGGTAAGGTAATTCCCATATGCAGTAATTTTATTTGTCTTAAAATAATCCTGTGTACTGTTCTCAACGTTTGCGGCAATGTTAACTGGGTGTTACTTGTTACATTTTGTTGACTGAGTAAACTGGTCCTCCTGGTCCAATGTTGATGTTTGTTGGGTTGAAGCCCACATTTACTCCCAACCTTTCACCTAGCTTTCTGTGTCTGTCCCACCCAGATTCTTGGAAGACATTCGAATATATTCTGTGGAAATGAGTGACACATATTCTAACTGCTACATCTTGTTTGTATTTTTTTAATGCAGAGCAAAAATGAGTGAAAAAAACCAGCAACAGGATGAGTTACCTGCATACTTGAAAGATGATTCTCCAACAGGTACTGAAAGTTATGCTGACATTTTAATATCAGAGTGACTTGCCACAGTTATACCTTCTTGCAACAACCAAGCTTTTATCTTAGCATAGTCATGCTAAATGAATCATTTTACATCTGTCCTTCGTACATCTTCATTTTAGAGAATAATAAACATATCTGCCACATAGTGGTGCTCTTGCACAATCAAAGACTGACACTGCTCTGTATTTTCTAGTCTCAAATTTCATACAGTATGTAGTAGATCTGTAGTAGAAGATTATTGAAGGAAACATTTTTCAACAATACAAATCAGTTTTTCTTCTTCACAATTTCAAATCAAATTAATTCTTACTTTGTTTCTTTGTATTTTTAGTGAAATTTACTAGTTGTTTCTGAGTGAAAATTGTTTCTACAACTTTATTTTTTTCAGTGTTTGGTAGTAGATCGGGTTATAAAATGTAAATGTTGCTCCAAAAACTGTTTAGACGCTAATATTTGATTGGCATTGCTTTAGATGACAAATTTTCAAATCAACTGGCATTTATTTTAATGCAAGATGCCACAAGCAAAATATTTCACAAAAGAACTGTGTTTTAAATGATAAACTGTTCATAACTTCATATGCATGAATGAATAAGTAAAATCATGCATATTGTTAATCATAAATCATATCATAATTATCATAAATTAAGTAATATTAACTTGTAATTGAATTGTTTCACATGATTCACATGATAATTGAGATCATTGATTCACATGATAATTTTATTTTGGTTACACTTTATTTTACGGTGTCTTTGTTAGAGTGTAATTGTATCTTTTAAGTACTGACTAATATTAATTAAGAGCATGCATTTACTATAGGGTTAGGGTTATGGTTTGGTTTAGTTGCATGCAATTATGCATTATTTACTGTTATTATGACAATTAATGTAACAAGGACACTGCACAAAAAGTTGTTTTATTAAATTTTTCAGACTAGACCGCTGCTCCATTATCTTTTTTGATGAAATTTATTTTTAATGTTAACATTTCCTTTTATTTCCTGTAGATAGCAACAAAGACCATCCCCAACCCCAGCCTGGCATGTTCTCTAGGGTAGCTGGTGGTCTGTTCAGTGTCACGAAAGGGGCCGTTGGGGCCACAGTGGGTGGAGTCGTCTGGGTTGGAGGGAAAGGCCTTGATCTCACGAAAACTGCTGTTACCTCAGTTGCGTCTGTGCCAGGGATGGGGGTGGGGCTTGTGAAGGGCAGCGTGTCTGCTGTGGCTGGTGGCGTGAGCGCCGTCGGCTCTGCCGTCGCCAGCAAAGTTCCCATTGGCGGAGGCAAGAAGAAGGACAAGTCTGATTGAATCACATGGCTCTGGGGTACATTTGTCAGAAGTATCTGCATCGTGTCTTCTTTGACTCCTGAGTGAGTTGATTGCGGAGTTCATGCTTGCATGTTCACGCTTACGAGCATATTTGGACCATATCCGTCTGCCTGACCGGACCAACAAAACGTCATTCGTGAGCTGGGTGGCCTTCATCTGCTCAATGCAAGAACTTTTGTATTTGTGTTCAATTGGAATATGACATTAAGTGTGTGTTTTATTGAGAGTGAAACTGTTTATCTCTGAACTATGAAGTACTACATTTCTGACCAGAGATTGATACGTGGTCCTCTAAATGTTCCGTTTGTGCTTTACTGAACACACAAAGGCACATGCTTTGTGTCTGTGACCATACATTCAAAAACATCTCATGTTTCAAAGAACGCACCTTACAGTTGATTTGCTGCAAGCAGGTAGGAATGAAGTTGAAGATCAATCAAGTGTCCCTCAAGGTGCTGTTGGGGGAAAATCACTGACTGTGGGGTGCTGATGGTGGCGTCCATCCATCTGATCGAGTGTTTGTGAGATTACTTACTTTGTGCCTCTGGGGTCCACGTTGATCCATGCTGTCCTCACACAAATCCTGCGATCTTGTGTCCCTTGAAAAACAGAGAAGTCATGAATCTGAATGCTCATAGTACTGTTTTTTTTTGGAAAACGTGTGATAATTCACATCGAAACATCTCTGTTTTGATGACTATTCCAAAACCCAGTGACCTTTTCTATTTTCTTTTCTGTGTCATTCTATTATTCACTGTCCTTTTGCTTCTTTGTTCTGTTTGCTCTTTTAGCTCTGTAATGTTATATTTTTTTATGGGCTAACAAAGAACCACATGAGGTGGTAAAGTATAATACAGTATTTTCTTCTATAAAGTATTTGTTTTACCTTTACCAAAGATTATGAAAAGGAAAAAAAGTTCAGTGTATTTGAGGATTTCTTTTTTTTTTATGTCGATATGCAGTAAACTTTATGGTATTCAATGTAATCTCACTTCACTTTTTAGATAGATAGTTATCAAATATATATTTAGTTTTTGTTGTTTGATTTGAGGCATTTAATATTTCAATGTAATGTGAATTGAAAGGACTTAAAATAAAATAAAAAAGTATCACAGATGCTTGCGATTGTTTACTCTAGTGGAAGGTGCGGGCCTGATGCCAGGACACACAACTTGATTCCGGGTCTGGGAAGGTGGCTGGATTTGACAATAGTATAATTCACACTAAGAACAAAGACTATAACCATAAAGTTAACATTTTCTTAAGAAAATAGCGGAGTCCACTCCTCATCTATAATGATGACATGAAACCAATATTGTTGAAATTGATTTCAAGACAGTTATTTTAAGTTTTTTTTTTTTTACTAAAACAATTAAATATTTTTTTAAATAGAATTAAGCTGAAATAAGTTAAAATATGAATATTAGAGGCAAACATTAAAGGTGCCATATGGGATAATTGAGGTAAAAACATCCAAAAAATGAGCTACACACATCAAAAGAATGAGAAAAAATAAGTGCAATGATGTCATTAAAAAACTGACAAGTTATTGCTGCCGAGATATAAACCTAAATTAGCATGTTAAATTTCTAGCCCCGGCCCGGCAGGTGTCGTAATACCAGTTTCGGCCATGGGAGGCGGTATGCGGGCGGGCAACATAACCACCAGTCAAACTGCAGTAGACGAGTAACTCGTGCGGCTTGTGTGTACTTGAACCTGATGTTAGTCGTGTGGAAAATACAGCCCACTACTACATTTCAGTTCAGGGGTGAGTTAAAAAAATGATTGGTCGATATTATGGATGAGGAATACATTTTGGTAAGTTGTAACATATCTTTCAACAGTGTTCGTGTTCTTTTACCATTAGCTAGTAGAGATGATCGGTTCACGTGCGCTAGGGATCTGTCGTCTAACATTTACAAGCCCAAGACTGCATTTATTGTTTGAATTGCGTAATAAAATTATCAGAATCTGAGAGATGAGATCGGTCTCTGTGTCCTTTTCTGTGCATGACAAAATGGATGTGGCGTGAGAGTGTGTGAAAAGTTGTGTCTCACGGTGAATTTGTGAGAGTTGGCAGCTCTGAAAGACGCTAGCTTGGTCCACATCAGGGAATGCTGCTGTCTGTCAAATTAATTCAAACTAATGATAAAAATGTAACATGAACAAAACGAATACCATAAACTAAAAATGCCTGGGCTTTAATTTTCCCATATCGTCGAAATGCACCAGCTTGTCTATAAGACGGACTTTATAATTTAGTATTGAGATGTTGTTGATTTAGTCTCTAATCTCTGAAAATCTCCAAATGATCCACGTGAAACTGCGGTCTTCCAACCTTTTACTATTAGTTTTACTGATTAATATGCGCGAGGCAGACCCGCTCGCCCGTGTTAGCGGTGGCAGGTCGGGTGACAGGCGAATATAGCGGTGGCAGGTCGAGAGACAGGCGCATATAGCGGTGGCAGGTCGAGAGACAGGCGCATATAGCGGTGGCAGGTCGGGTGACAGGCGAATATAGCGGTGGCAGGTCGAGAGACAGGCGCATATAGCGGTGGCAGGTCGGGTGACAGGCGAATATAGCGGTGGCAGGTCGGGTGACAGGCGCATATAGCGGTGGCAGGTTGGGTGACAGGCGCATATATAGCGGTGGCAGGTTCGGTGACAGGCGCATATAGCGGTGGCAGGTCGAGTGACAGCTGCCACTAGTGGTGACGGGTGGAGTGACAGGTCTCGGTGGCAGCTGTCCCTGCCACGGAAAGATTTTACCCTTACTGCCGTGTTGTTTGAAGACATGAGTGCACGCGGCAGCGGAGGTATTTTTCTGGAGGTATACTGACCCCATCTGGTATGGAATATGGTGTATGATTTGATTTTTTTTTATCCCAGAGGGCACCTTTAAGCCAAGTCCCAGACAAAAAGGCATGTTCGAGCTGTATTAACTGATGTCAGTTAAAATATGTCATTACCATTGTTTTGTCTCAAGATGCGAGGGCTCACTGATAAGCTGCAGTAGTTGCTGCAGGACAGCCAATGAGCACGCTTAAAAACCTGCTATGGTCTGCTGTCCGCCGCACTGCGTTGACATTGACAATAATTACAAAATTAAGGATAATTTTTTTTTTTTGGCTTCAGATTTACCCAGTAGCGCAACTTTCGCAATACTCGTTCCCTCTTCCATAGAGAACCGATTACATTAGGTAACTGAGTACGTTTATTGTGCAGACATTTTTGGCAAAGCTGTCAAACAAAGAAATTATGAACACATGCTATACAAGAGAGAACCAACAAAATATTATCAACTGATGATGCAATAGTAAATGTACACATATAAAAAAATATGCACGCACTCTAACCCTACCACAACCCTAATCCTACCCAGGGGGTTTACAGTGCGTATTATATGCACTCAAAAACTGTTTTTGGTGTATACAGTAAATGGCACGAAATTAAAATGTGTGTTATAGATAGACTTTCGTGAGATTGTGTTGTTTAATCAAGCTGTAAAAACACATATCCCCTCTAGACATAACGTTTGACCCCTAGTTATCCTTAATCATGATAGTTTTGTTCTTGGTGTAAATGGGCTTTTATCTGCATGGTTTGGCTTGCAGTTGCTATTCTAATTCATTATAAATGTGTCTGGTCTGGTGGGATTCAAATAGGACTAGATTATGGACCATGCCATTGTCCCACAGCCTCTAAATCCTCTGGACCCCCACAGGCCCCATAACACATAAAGCTAAGGTACATATATTGTTTTCATTAAATGTTATCCAATCTAAATAAGTACTGTATTTTACTTTCTCTTTTTTTTTTTCCATTTGCCTAATTGGATGTGAAGTAACTGGATAAAGGGTCTGCCGCTAAGGAAGGGGACCTGTGGGACCAGAATCCAATAAGTTGAAGTGCAGGTATTGTCAAGTTCTTCCACACCAAACTCAATACACTATTGTTTTATGGACCTGCACTTTGTACACAGGGCAATTGTAATGTTAGAGGAAAAAAGACCCCAATTTACTAAAAATGTTTGTCTAACCTGTTAGTAATGGGTGTAGCTTAAATGGTCAAACCTGTTAATTAAACAGAGGGGGTCTGAATACATTAGAGCATGAAGTGTACCTCTATGAACAACAGACACCTCCCTGGCCTTCCCTTAAAAGTTTTTTTGTCAGAGTAAAAGTTAACCAACCAATCAGTTAAAAGAATCAAACAAAACATTTTGGAGCGCAATATGTGTCTTTTGTGCAGGAAAAGTGATTTTTCCCTTATATGGGTGTCTGTACCTTACAGGGAGAGGCGGCGGTAAAGGCTGTCAACGGTGAACAAACGCTTGCAATCAAGTTCCAGTCCCAAGGTCATGCCGGATGTCAGTGTCTAATGCTTAGGGAATGAGGCGACAGGGGTCTTCCCCCCTCTGTCACCTCCTGGAACAAATTCATTCCTCACACTCCTGGAGCTTCTCTTTCAGTAAACACTTTAAATCAAAAGTAGACAGTGAAACTCACACTGCAGGGGCCAATCATTGACTTCAGCCTTTTGATATTAGGATGGCAGGAGGCACTCAACTGAGTTATGAATACCAGTGAAGGCTATAAAGTCTATGTTTTTGCTTATTCTTAGTCTGAATGAATTTAGCCATGTCAGTATTGATGAAATATTTATCTAGCAAGGGCAATGAAGGTTAAAGGGAAGCACAGTACTGATATGTTTATATACAGTAAATCCGATGCGCTCAGACCTTTGATTATGAGAAGACCTTGTGGCTATACTCTTAATTTGGGCCACGTCCGAGCAGGAGCCGTGAGCCTGAGCTGGCAAGCATAAATTTGCGTGGACACTGTTTTGAGGGAAATAATAACATTCACATCCTGATTTTTATTCTCTCTTTCCCCACATCCACTCCATGATTCAGGCAGCCTTTCAGCAAATCAATAATGAGGCCTGTAGCAGCTACTCGGTGTGAGCTGAGGGGGCTTTAGACTTCACAGACCATATATAAGTGCTTGAGTTTTATGGAGGTGGTGTATGTGCTTTCCTGGACTGTAAATAAATAAATAGAATAACGTTAGGGGAACCTTAGAATAATTTTAGAATATCATTAAAATAACGTTAGGGGAATGTTAAAGTAACTTTAGAATAACGTTACACTAAAATATAATATGGTCAATAAGTTATGACAACATACTGTATATTTTTAGATATTTAGATAGAATAATGTAAAGTGACGTTATGATAGTGTTCAAATAAAATAAGGAGAATGTTACGTTAGAATAACGCTAGAGCAACGTTAAAATAACGTTAGAATAATGTTAGGGAAACTTTAGAAAAAAAAATCTTTTATTCCCCCCCCCCCCTCACAGTGCTAGTTCAGAATTATATATAATTTTAGCTTGTATTCATAGTTTGAATTAGTTTTTATTTTTGTATTTTCAAGTAAGTCATTCATTAAGCGCTTTGATTTAGCTTACATTTTTTTCATCTAATATTTATAATTTATTTCAGCTTTATTTAAATTACAAAAACTTTTATTTTAATTGTTATTTTAATTTTTTAATTGTTAAAAGTTTCAGAGGGGTTTTTGATTTAGAAAAGAAAAGAGAATGGAACAATTTTACACTCAGCGGAGTTTCCTCAGGGAAACCTACAAGCATAAACAAAGGATCGGATTCATAACCAGGGCTTGAGGCGAACAGTGTTGGACATTGCTCACAACACTCAGATGCTTCTTTAAAGGTTTAAAGAAGCATTATGAGGAGGACAACTTGTTCTTCAGTAGTCCTGACAAACAAAATTAGAATGAAGCACATGCTTATACAAACCTCTGCATTATTCATCTCTGCCGTTTCACTTTATTCTTCAGCTTTAATGCCCATGTCTTAATGAATACAAGCTTGCTTTCTTCCTTTTGTCACACTTGACAGATGGAATGAAACTTTAAATCCTTTAGGCTTTAAAAGGTTTTTAATCAAATCCTTTTTTAGATAAAAGCCTTTGATCCAAAATAACATGAGTTGAGATATAAGCAAACCAACAACATAACACATTCAAAGCATGCTATAATTGACAAAATGTTTACATTTTTCAGCAATAGACGTTCTCATATAGGCGTTACTGTACGTTCACACCGCCGCTGACTTGAGCGTCAAAGAAGCTCTGGCCGCTTTGTCAAGGACGCTTGTCAAAAAGCACGGGGAAGCTCGTTGACGCTTTGGACGCTTTGAAAGCTCTGACGTTGCAGGGAGAAGAGAAGTGTCACAACATGAAATGTAATAAAACGAGAAAACAAGCAATACATTGAAGAAAACATTTATAATGACAGCATTTTTATAACCGCTTTGGTCACATTTGGTCGGGGAAAAATAATAATTAACTATTATTATTATTATTATTAGCGAGCGTTCGTAATTCAATAAAAGTTGCGCTCATTCTCAAATGTTTATCACTGGATCATTATGGAAAATCGTGAAGTTGTTTTGTTTGGTGCTGCTTTACTGTATTTGCGGAGAAGACGTCGGACTCTGAGATTTTCAGCTTCTCCTCCATTTTCTCAGAACTAATGTTTAGGTAGGAACGAAAGTTCACATCGTATGTTTCTCCGGAATCAGCTAGAGTGAAGGACGTCTTTATTCCGATTGGTTGCTGCTGTTTGCCGCTGCTTGCCGCTGAACAGCGTCATAGCTCATTACCATAAAGTTGAGCTTCTTTCAACTTTCAGATTGACGCTCAAAACGCCCAAAACGCGAAGCCGAGGAATTTAACGCTCCTTGCAGCTGAGAGAAGCCAGCTTCCATTGAAAATGAATGACTTTCGGCCGCTTTGGAAGCTCAAGTCGGCGGCGGTGTGAACGTACAGTTAAACCCCTTTCACACAGAGATTCCGGAAAATACACAGATAATGTGACCCAGCATTTGTCCCGAGATTGTTTGATTTCGGTTCATTCACACTGGCAGTGATTTGATCTGTGAGTGCGTTCACACACAACCCGTAAAGATCCCGGAAAGGCACATGACGTCAAGATGAGATGTATAATGTACGCGTCGAAAACATGTACACGTGCATACCGTTCCACAAAGCTGGTGAACGATCTCAGTTTCAGTGCAGATAGCGAGGAGCTCCTGGTCTCTGCTTCGTTCCAGTTTGCAGGTATTTGTTCGTCCTTTCTTTGTTGATGACGAACACAAACTGTCTTCTAAGTGCAACAGAGTCGCGCGATGGCACGAGCGCCATCACTATGACACCCTTTACGGCATTGGTCCTGGCTTTTGTTCACCTGCGTTCTGCAATGTTACTAGGTCCCCAACCCGGCATTGATGCCGGTGTCAATCCCAGGTCGTGTTTGCGTTCACACAGATGGCGTTCTGGCAATTTCCCGGGATCAACGCACTGTGTGAAAGGGGCTATATAGTGACACTTTTGAAATTTCGTCTAAATCCAACGCATATGGCACCCTTTAGCATCAATATAACACGCATAGAGCTTTGTTCGGGTATGGTAGGTTTAGTTCTGGGGTAGGTTTACGGTTGGACCACTAGGAGGCGCCTTCTGGCCCATATATATCTACCAGTGATGTGCGGGTTGATCCGAAATGAGCGGGTGCCTGTGGTCACCCGCGGTTACCCGCAGTTACGGGTCATCCAAAAATGTTTTTAATGATATTCGGGTCGCGGTCGGTCGGGTCGTTTGAAAAAAGATGCCAATTAAACATTTGTATTAATATAGTACTAGACACAATTTTTGATGAAATATACAGCCCTACACATTATTGGCTGAATAACTGGCACGAAGATAGCACACAAGCTCAGTCTAAACAGTTCTCGGTTCTATGATTCGAGAACCGCTGTCCCTGTGCTTTCGGTATAGTATAAGCTGCTCGTGCTCATCACTTCTCTCAACAGTGGCACCAACATGTCTCAGTTCAGTGAACTGTTGGAGTTACTGGAGTTAAATATAATTCAGGATATTGATTTATTTCGATACGGAGGGACTGTCAGGCATGTCTGAAAGTGAGTAACTTTAGTAACTTGTGGATCCGCACTGACGCAAGACGCGAACTGTTTCGAACGATTCAGTTCGAGTAGTGTACTGGTTCGACCGGTTCACTAAAAAGAGCCGGTTCAAAAGAACGATTTGTTCACGAACCGGCCATGTCTATGATCACTATAGTCACTCTGCAGAGAAATGGAGGCGGCAAGAGAAAAGGTGAAGACTGGGGAGTGGAAGCTCCGCAAATACACAAATAGAAAGAGTAAAAGTGTGGGAGACATTTGCTGAAATAATGAAAGATGATGACCAAAGTGCTGGCTTTGTTATGTGTAGGCCTACGTCTTCTTGCGATGCTGTGTTGTTACACGTCTATGGCCCAATAACGCTCCGATGAGCATTTACTACTTTTAAAAAATGTGGTCAGGAAGCGGGTCGGGTACAATATTTTTTTACTTTTTTGCGGGCGGGTCGTTGAAAACGTCGGTCGGTTGCGGGTTGTTTATACATTGACCCGCGCATCACTGATATCTACGTTTCATATTGACGCTAAAGGGTGCCATGTGCGTTGGATGTAGACGAAATGTCAAAAGCGTCAGTAATAGTATATGATGCCTTGGGATTTGGCGTCGTATAGGTGACTCCATAACATTTCGTCGAAATACTATGCACATGGCACCCATTAGCGTCAATATAACACAGAACTCAAGGCGTCATACTGTATAGGTGACTGGCATCCTTTAGCGTCAATATGAGACACAGACCCAGTACCCCAGACCTAAACCTACCCATAACAGTGCGTGTTATATTGACGCTAAAGGGTGCCTAGTATAACGGTGCATAGTATTTTGACGAAATGTCATATGGCATCACCTATATGATGCCACAGGTTGAGAATGTGTTGGCATTTTCATTTTCAGTTCGAATGCATTTTCTTTCTTTCAGTAAGAAAGTCATGTTGACATACACATCCACCCATTCCACCCTTTTTGCATCACAGTCTTCAGGCTCAGCACAAGGACTTCTGAAAGATCAATTACAGTGGGCGAGCAAAACACTAAACAGGAAATTAGGGAAAGCATAATTTATTTGCATGTTTGCTCTATGATTTAAGTAGCCTAGAACAACAAGCAGCAGGGAATCGATTCCTTTTTTTTTATCCTTTCTGTTTTCGACGAACAGTGCAAGGAACAATCAAAGAGTTTGCTTGGCTTTGATCATGAAAATACATATCATGTTTTCATTTCTGAGCATGACTGTCGGTTAAATATCTTTAACGCCCCAAAGAAAACATATTATCAATTTTACGTTGCTACCTTGTTTGTTCTTGACTTCTAATAATTAACTAATAATAATATGGCAGTGCAACTGTAGGGGATCTGTGCAAATGAACCAATTGCAATGTTATTGTGAAAAACTAAGGTCACTTTTGCCCATGCAATCCACACATTTGTCTTTAGAAAAGATAAATGTCTTTGTCTAAAGAAACATCCTCTGGTAACAACTGTAAATAGCTGTAAATGTGACTTTGACTGTCCTCGGCAATGATCACATAGACACCGACCCCGAGGAAGTCCTGTCAAACAAAATTTACTTTCAAGTCTGTTTTACACTCTTAGAAAAAAAAAAAAAAGATTCAATGGCGTTCTGTATACTGACATGGAAGCAGAAAAAAAAATGATGTAGAGGACCCAGTTTATTATAATGGTGATAATCCAAAAAGCGTGAAACATAAACCATGAGTTAATCCACAGTAAGTAACACAAAATAAACATGAGCTAGAAACTTGAGTATCGAGACCATAATCATGGAACAACATTTAATACATGACAAACAAAGCATGGCAAACATGAAGGCTTAAATACACATAGACAATTGACAACAAGGAACACCTCAACAATCAAACAATGAACCAATCAGAAAGTGACACATGATCAGGAGAAGATATGATCACATTATGGCAAACACATGACAAACAGAAAACATGACTGTGAGAATTACAAAATAAAACACATCCTGTAAAAACTCGCTGAACCAAAACCCAAAAGAGTCGACGTGACAAAGGTTCTTGTTTTAAAGAGCTCTTTATGTTAAAGAGGTTCTAGGCTATATAAGGAGAAATGCCTCAAATTATTGCATAATTATTTCAAGTTTAACAGTTTTTTCTAGTGATAAAGTATGTGTATGAGATGTTTAATTCATTAGAATAAAAATATCAACAAA